CCCCAATGCCCTCCCCCCCCCCCATTAGCTAGCCATGCACGGCCTCCCAGCCGCCAGCTGAGCACTGCTGCCCAGGTTGCGGCTGCTCTGGGGAGCAGAGCTGGAGTACACTGCCCAGCACCTCCTCTCCCACCACAGCTGTTGGGAGAGCTGTGTCCTGCCCACCTCCTGGTCACGGAAGAGCAGTTTGCTATCTCCCTTATCATTAATGTGAAGGGCAGCCAAAAAGTTAATTCATTTGTATATGATTTTTTTTCCAAGATAGTTTCGCAGGAAAGACCTTTACACAAAATGAGAATCTGCATTTCTCAAAAGTGGAATGGAACAAACCAGCTCTTCCCCCTAGTATTTCTGGATAAAAGCAGATAAAGTGAGACAAGGAATAGGAGAGTTGTTTTTGGCATGCAGGTGGGGTTCCTTCGAAGAGCAAATTGCCAAGTTTCCTGCAGATAAGAGTCAGTGTTTCCCAGACACACGATGTAACACTGCACCCCTACTGAAAATCAATAGCTTAATTTTCTTTAGCTCGTTGTATACACCAGTATCCATAAGACAAAACACAATAATTCAGCAGCCCAAGGGCTGAGCACAGAGAGCTGTGACAGAGGAAGGAGGCTGCTTGGAGTGACCCGCATGGGGACTTGGGTGGAAAGTGACAGGTTCCAGCACGTGGGGGAATTAACAGAGATTAACAGCTTGGCATTTGTGCAGCTGCCAGTGGCAGTGCTGCGAGGGAGAATTGCACCACCAGTACCAGGTCACTCTTGCCCACTGCACAGACTCTGGGCCAAAGTCAGACCTATCTTGGCCAGGGTAGGGCACAGAGGTGGACAGCCCACAGACAGGGAGGCCCCCGTCACAGCGAGGCTGGGCAACAGCAGGACAGAGGATGGGTGGGATTCTCACTCAACCCTTCATGGTGTGGCGTGACTGGGCCAGCGCTGTGCGGAGCCACCCATGTGACCTCTTTCCAAGCTGCTTTGCAGAAAGAGCCTTACTGGGCTCCGCACGGTGCCTCTTCCAAGAGCTGTGGTGGGAGGGGAGGCATTGGGCAGTATTCCCCAGCCCTGACTCCCAGAGAAGCCACAGCCCGGCAGCCAGCAGTTTGCAGGCCGGCACTGGGCCGTGGACCGATGGTTGGGAACCGCTGATCTAGTTAAATACGGAAGTGTTATATACCCATGGAATCTGGGCTCCTAAAGAGAAGATTTCAACATACAGTAAACTTCCAATAATCCGGCACCTTTAGGAGCCAGGGGGTGCCGGATTATCAGATATGACGGACTATAAGAAGGGGGGGCTATGAGGGGTCTGGAGTGGAGTGGGAGGGGATGCCACCCCAGACCCCTCATAACCCCCCCTTACAATAGTCCGGCTCTGCCCCAGGCGTCCCTGATTCAGCGGCTGCTGGTCAGTTTCAGCAGCGGCTGAATCGGGAACGCCTGCAGCAGAGCAGCTGGAGTGCTGCCGGGTTGGTCCGGTAGCGCCGACCCTTGGCGCGGGGAGACCAACCCGGCAGCACCCCAGCTGCTCTTGCGGACGCCTGGGGCAGAGCAGCTGGGGTGCTGCTGGGTTGGTCCCTCAGCGCCACTCCTTG